GGTTCTTCTCTAATGAAACGTTTCGTCTCTCCTCCAAGAGACTTCTTCAGTCTGAGAGTTTCAGGCATTTCTCTTGGAGGAGAGACGAAACGTTTCATTAGAGAAGAACCCGTCCAGAAGACCTACACAATTTTTTTTCTTTTTGATTTTTTTTTACCTGGATTACTGAGATGCATCAGGACATAAACACATATTATTTTTTTAAGTTTGTCAGGAAAACAAATAAATTATCATATATTTTTTTGAAATTCCTGACAAAAATATGACTTGGGTGATTATTTTAGGTTTGTGTCCTTATGTTCTCATCATGTTGCGTTTGACAACACATTTACAGGTAAATGTAGAAACATATCTCAGAAACATTGACGCCTTCATAAGATAACAGCTTAAGTAATTTTTTTTCCCGATGTTTGACGGGAATCTCAAAAAATGTCACCAGGTCTTGGTAAAAGTTTTTTGTGTTCCCATAAAAATGTAGCGTGGACAGGCACCTTCCTTATCCATGGTGTCGATAAGGAAGAAGGCACCCCTCAGTCAGSTGACTTGAAGTATAAAAGATTTCTTTTCTTTAACGTTATCAGACTTACTCAAATTCCCTCTGTCGTGTCTGTTTTTTCCAGACAAATTCATGATAATAAATTAGAAAGCATAGCTTAAATGCTTAAACTCTGATCAAACACGATCCAGTTAGTGTTTGTTCKTTTGAAAAATATTTTTTAAAAAGTTGGAACAAAACGTTTCCACTTCGCAGTTCACACCAGTTTCTAAACAAGTTTTTTTTGTGCGTCTAATAATCAGAAAACTTAAGCCGTGCTGRCTTTGAAAGTCGAGTAGAAAAACTTTGTCTCCTCTTTGTTCAGCATCGTCGAGTAGAGGATGGGTACTTGGTCTTTAGGCCCTCTTTGAAGCTGCGAAACAGAAGTCGGTTCTGTTTGTTCTCCTCCTCTTTCTTGGCGTGGAACTCTCCTTGGAGCTTGAAGCCCAGGTGCACGACGAAACCAGAGCTCAGGACGGAGAACCTGTATCCAGCCACATGGAGCTCACAGGCCTGGAGGGAGATGGAACAGGTTACACCCGCACAAACACGAGAACATTCAAAGCAAGCCCAACTTAGGAATTGAACCCAGGACCTTTTAAGTGTGACGTAACAGTGCTAACCACTAAACCACCATGGTGCGCAGTTATAAGAAAGAACTTGGCACCTCACACTTGAACGTTACCAACCTGGCTAATCCGATTGAAGCCGTACTGCTTGAAGTTCTCGTCGTAGAGGGGTACAGTGCGAGGGCCGATGTAGAATGGCTCCCAGGGGTCAACCCAGTTGAGGGTGTAGGCAACCTCCAGAGTGCCCGTCTCCCTAACGTGACTGTTGACCCACTGCGAGTAGTTGGTGGGGGCTTGACACCGGGGACACAGCTCTTCGTAGAACGGGCGGACCTCCCCGACCTGGTAAAGCTGCACCAGCTGGGCCTTGGTGGCGGGGACCTTCCTGGCGTGGCGGATCTCGAAAGCTGGCAAGATGAACACCTCGTCGCTGGCTGGCTCACGCCCGGCGATCAGGGCGAGGAACTGCTGGGGCAGGTCGGCACTCGGCATCATGTCGATGTCGAGGACCAGGACGTAGGAGGACTCCGTGCCGCTGCGGGCGACGTTGCGGAGAAGGTTGTTCGGGTAGGAGATGTTCCCATTGATGGCGTAGTTTTTGTACTTGTCTCGGTGGGTTTCCAGTCTGGCGAACACGGAGGCGCAGTCCTCGAGTCCTGCAAAGTGCTCACGGTCCTGCTCGGGGAAACTGGCCGTCTCTCCTGACAGGCAGACCAAATGAAAGTCGGCCAGGGCTTGGATCTGAGGGCAGAAGAAGCTGAGTGCATAAACCAGAGCTGTRGCGAATTTAACATCTTCCCCATGTGCAAATATAGCCACGGACAGAGGGTTCTGCCACCTTTCCAGTAGATGCTCCAGGTGATGCAGGTTGTTGATAGTAGTATGCGTGGCTAAAGTCAGTCCACTAGMGTCTGGACCTGCTCTCTGATTTGTGGTGAAATCACTTTTGATCAGGTTTTTGTACACCCGGTACTGGCCGCTGCTGTCGAAGATCCCTCCGGTGGACAGGGAGTACCTCAGCCGCTCTTTGCGTGTGTTTTTCTCGGACTGGACATTTTTCTTGGCCGCAGAGCYTCCAAAGAGCTCCGAGTAGCGGTACCGCTGCTGCTTACCGTGAAACTTGGACAGGAAGGACAGGTAGATGAGCTGCAGCAGCGCCACTATCAGCAGGGCACTCAGCACCACTTTGAAGACGGAACATTTCTTAGACAGATGCATTCCAGAGAAACTAACAGAGACTGTGCGATCAGATGTAAAACCCGCCGGTGGAKACCTCTTTTCTGTCTGTTTGTGTCCAGGCTAACGGCGACTGCATCGCAGCTACAATGCTAACACTACAGCCCACAAAGCCGGACGCATTCTCATCCTTGTCGGCAWGTTTTGCTAAAGTAGTTCTAAATCAGATTCTCGTACGGTTCGAGACACCAAAAATAGGAAGCAAAAGTGATGAAAGTCTGTACGATCGCCATGAAATCACAAGTCGTCTGTCTGCTGCTGCGACAGCTGCGCATGTTGACGCAACAACCGTAATGTCAGGAAGAGAGGCGCAGCTGAATTTAACCCTCTAACACTGGTGGCTTTAGCGTTGCTGTCAACACATTTCACCATGAATCAAAAACAAAAAAGTAATTAAAATAGTTTTTTTTTTCAGTTGGCAATAAAAAAAAACAATCAGAATTCAGCCCAGCTAGACTGTAGATAAATCCACAAACTGGGCGGATTCCAGAGTCCTGGGTTTGATCCCACCAGTCCTTCTGTCTTAATTAAATTGTTTCCCACAATTAAACATTTCAAGTGTTATTTAAAGTAACGCGTGTTATCCTAAAAACATTTTTTTAAATGCAATGTTTCGTGCAAATTGTGTAACATTTTAAATTGAAAATACAGCATTATTTATTTGGCAACAAACGTCTTCCTTTTTAAAACTTCATAGTATTAAAAGCTTATTTAATTTAGTTTTCTGTTTTTGTCATATTAATAGTTATTAATTACATTAAACTGTAAACCTTATAGTAGCAATACTGAAGGAAAATTAATTTTATTTAAAACTGATTTTAATGGACTTTTTTTTTTAAAGAGATCAGGGCTACTTTTTCTTATCTAATTGTGTAAATACCTATGGACCAAAATATCCTGAGACTAATAAAGGTGCCTACTTTGGTCTAGCTGAAGGCATTTGTATGGCTTTATTCTTTGTAATTAAATGTTGTAGTCTTAATTGTCTCCTGGTCAATGTCTTGTCTCTCTGTAAAAACACATTTCTTAAAATACAATACACTTCAATATAATTAATCATACCCACTGCTCATTTTAAAACTTTCTCATCAAAACAGTTCAAAGTGTAGTACTATAAAAAGTACGTATAAATTACTTTTAGAACATATATATATATATGTGTGTGTGTGTGTGTGTGTGTGTGTGTGTGTGTGTGTGTGT